GAAAGCCTAAAGAAGAAGGTCAAGCCGAAGGAGGAGAAAAGCCCAAGGAGAAGGTCGAGAAGAAGAAGGAAGTCAAGGAAGAAAAGAAACCGGCCGAAGAGGCAAAGCCGAAAGAAGAAGAAAAGCCTAAAGAAGAGGTCAAGCCGAAGGAGGAAGAAAAGCCCAAGGAAAAGGTCGAGAAGAAAAAGAAGGAAGAAGTGAAGCCGGCCGAAGAAGAGAAGCCGAAGGAGGAAGAAAAGCCCAAGGAAAAGGTCGAGAAGAAAAAGAAGGAAGAAGTGAAGCCGGCCGAAGAAGAAAAGCCCAAGGAGAAGGTAGAGAAGAAGAAGGAAGTCAAGGAAGAAAAGAAACCGGCAGAAGAAGAAAAGCCTAAAGAAGAGGTCAAGCCGAAGGAGGAAGAAAAGCCCAAGGAAAAGGTCGAGAAGAAAAAGAAGGAAGAAGTGAAGCCGGCCGAAGAAGAAAAGCCCAAGGAGAAGGTAGAGAAGAAGAAGGAAGTCAAGGAAGAAAAGAAACCGGCAGAAGAAGAAAAGCCTAAAGAAGAGGTCAAGCCGAAGGAGGAAGAAAAGCCCAAAGAAAAGGTCAAGCCGAAGGAGGAAGAAAAGCCTAAGGATAAGGTCAAGAAGGAAGAGTTAATATCTTCGAAGGAGATTAGTGCTGTTGTTAGCCTCAAGTCTTTCGAGTCCACCCTGGATGTGAAGGGTTCCATACTCGAAAAAACCAAAGAAAGCGAGATGGCTTCTGTTCGCGAACCAGAACTTCAAGAAGTGTCTTGTGACTTCTCGCTTGTAAAGCAGCGGACGGAGAAAATCGGAATTGGAGTTATTTTTGAGAGGAAACAAGCCGCTAAAAAGAAAGATGAACCTGAGGATGATAAGAAAGGAGAAGACGAAAATAGTGAGTTTTGTGTAGTATCTATAATCTGGAAGAGCAATATTAGAGAATATTAGAGAAACGTTTCTGTTTTAGTTACACTGGTAGATGTTGCCGATGTGGTGAATATAAAACCGGAAAAAGCATTAAAGAAAAAGAAGAAAACAAAGAAACGTGATAAGGTGGAGATAAAAGTCGTGACGCCTGAGGAAGATGACACATCTCTGCGACCTCCGCCTAAAGCTGAACATTTGGGGATCAACGTTTCTAGGAAGCGGACGGCTTCAGGTATTGATTTCTGTTCCTGTTTTGTAGTCAGTCTTCCATTTTACTTCGAAACTTCCTCCTCCAATCCTTCCTCATGTATAGAGCTTTATTCTTCTGTGAGCTGCGGTGAATAGCTCTCAGACTAGGAAAAGTGAGCGATGAGCAGTCAGATACGTTTCTGAATGACCATGGATTATTTTGATGTAAGGCAGCGTACAGGTTCGGGATGATTGAATCAGTGTGTTAGGTAATTGGGAGCAGACGATGCCTTCACGAAATCTCGTACTCTCCCATTCTTCTATGCCATCTCAAAGCACTGGCAGCCATCGATACCAGACGCGTGATTAGGTACTGCGTACTCACTGTCCCCCTCACTCTCAACACATAAGCAGTGTGCGCCGATCGATCCCCGTCTGCGGCTGCGTTCGCTTCTGTAGCACTGAAGCGCTGTAGAAGTTGTAGCGCCGGACACGTTCAGACTACGCGTTGCGGCGGGTCCACGCGTAGTCTGAACGCTGCCTAGCGGCGAAATGTCTCGATTGCTAGCAATCGATCCGTGCAGCGTTGGTCTACAGAATAGAACTAGTTATTGCCTACCATATCGTTCTTATAATGCAGGTATATTGACCGGAGTTCACGTAAATGCCCCTCCTCCCGGAGAACTTACGTCATTTTCTCTGACAATTTAATCTAATATCGTTTCTATCCTGCTTGCTTTTACAGTCGACTTTCTGTACTATTTGGATTGAGAGTCGGGGAGGGGCTGCCAGGGCTCGATAGTTCGCTAGGAATAGAGATAGAATTGGCTTTCCTTACTAGTTTTTTAGCTTACACTTCCTACTTTGGTGAAACCTGCAGACCCTTGTCAGGGGCTAACAAATCTCGTGCAACTGCATAACTTGACGAGTTTTTACAGATCTCCAGGAGAGAGAGAGAGAGAGTTCATCGTCGACAATGATGAGCGAAAACTAGCAAAATGTTCCTACCAAGGCGAAGGGCGCCTAGGCTTTCTAATCTTAATCTTTCAATCCGAGTAATATACTAATTACACTTCCAGGTACTCACGATATTCATGTGGATATTGACATTGAAGCCGGAGAGGAGTCCGCACAGACGGATGCGGTTGTTGATCTGAACTTCTTTGATTACGAAGAGAGCGATCTGAGCCTATGTGAGCCTGTGGAAGACACCATCGAAGCTGATGTACTGCTTGACTCAGTTGGTCAAGAAGATGGCGTCGACGCTTTCGCACAAATGAATGCCACACAGGTGAAAACTCGTATTCCAGTGATTTTAGATACCTTTAGAACGTTAGTTATATTGTAAATTATGGACTACTAGGGTGAATTCCAATCGAGCGAACTTTCATAAGCCCCACCTACTCTGCTGGGAAACAGTGCCATGAAGATTCGGTCTCCCCTCATCGGAAGACCTGTAAGGCAGCGTTCAGACTTCGCGACGGCAGCGCTTCGGTCGCGCGTTCGACGCGATCGATGCAGTCGAAAGCATGCGCATCGATCGCGTCGAACGCGCGACCGAAGCGCTACCGTCGCGAAGCCTGAATGCCGCTTGAAAGTAGGTCCCAGAAGTTCTGCGAGCTAATGGCCAATAAACTGATGCCTAACTTTCCAGCGTTCAAGAAGAGTATCGTAAGATATGAAGCGGGAACGGGTACTGTCACGCGTTCCAAGTAAGAGGGAAAGTGTTCAGACTAAGATAAAGGCTAGGCCGTGTTTTGTTGTCCGCATAAGCAGACGCCAACAAATAGGACTAGCCAAGCAGCCAGCCAAAGCTGGTCACGAAGGGCGATTCGCGCTTGCAGAAGGTCCCCCTCTGCATTCCATGACAGCTGAACGACAGTACTACCGAAGAGTTGCTGCGAGACCTGCGGTCACAGGCCGTACATTTTTGCTTTTGGAAAATCATATTATGAAGCATAATTATGACCCATAGTCCTTGGTCTTCGCCCCTACCCGTCATAGTCACATGTAGCAAACAGTGATCGTACGAGAAACAAGAGAGTTATGAAAAACAATAGAGTCGGTTTCGTACACAGTATCACCAGAGATTTTTCAGGAGGTTACCACAACTGTGCAGATGCCGTCGGCTGTCAGCACAATCTCTCGACTTATTGAAGAAGACAAACTTCCAACCTCAGCAGAAGCCGAAATATGCATTGATATTTTGAAGAACAAGTTGAAAGTGAGAAAGCGAATTGGACGTCACGCAGAAATAGACCTAGGTATGTTGCTTGGAAAGCGTAGCAGTTCTGAAAGATGAAACAATATGGAAGCTAGTAACTGGTACTGGCTGTGTTTCTCAATAAAAGAGGAGTTCATACTTGACAGGTATTAGGCTGAAATATGGGTCACCCTTAGCACCAGCACTTGCTGCACTATCAGTCTGCTTTCTGAGCAGTTTGGAACACTAATCTTGGGCATACTGATGCTGTGAGCGTAGCTGCGCACATTGTATCGGAACAAACCCTTGGTTTGGTTTGATACCAAGTGAGCAGCTACGCTCAGTTTGAGTTTTGATGACAGTGTACACAGCTATGAACATCTCAGATCTCCTGATTAATAACAGCAATGTTAGCTTGACATGATTGTTCTGCTTTTCCAGATATGATGGAAGACGAGGAAGTCGCCGAAGAACAAGCCATGGTGAAGCACCCAGAATCGGTAAAGCTGACCGATCTCGAACAAAAGGCCGTTCTTACATGCCTAACGAAGAGGCCTATTATAAATGCATCATGGTTCAAGAACGGCATGGTAATAAGCAGTAATGATTATATCGACATCGAAATCGACGGCAACGAAACTCGGCTTATTTTGAACAAGTTCATACCTTTCTACATTGGAACATATCACGTTGTTGTTGACGACGTTGGAAGCAGTCCTGCACAGCTTTCGGCCAACATTCCTCCACAACTGAAGAATCAGTAAGTATTCAAGTGATTAATCAGAATGCATTCGGATTAGGTGCATTAGGTAGCGATAATAACCCACACATATTCATTAATCTCATGGGACGAGGGTGGATCAAGATCCCAGACAAGGGAATCCAGCTTGTGTGGGCTCGCTGCGCAACTGCCGTTTTGGTTTTTTTTTCTGGACAATGAAGTGATGTTTTGTACTGTGCAAACCGACGAACTTGTGGGATTTTTCACATTTCAAACGCTTTTACCCCCGATTACTGGATTACTCTAAACGAGAGGGTTGTGGTTTCGTGGAAGCTTCTAGACCTTGGAGAGGGCAACGCACAAGAGTTCTTGGACCTGGATTGAGGTCCGCAATCGTAGAAGAAGGGTCCTTCCCCGCTGCTCGGAACTGCTCGATGAAAACGCCAGTGTTCTACCACGCTTAATAACAAACTGTACACTTACCTCCGAGGACGATCCTTGTCATTTACCAAGTGAATGGGTCCACAGCAGCATAGCGTGCCAGTTTCTACGCCTCGAAAGTGCACCGGAACGGAGCTGGAGGGTATTAATGCCTCGTGCTGTCTCCATAGCCCGCACGTGGTGCCGCATGGCCAGCGCCTAGCCATAGACAAACGCATAACTTGCCTGCACTCTCTCATTCCACCGTGTGCGTGTTTCGCTGTGGGACCTCGGTGTCAACGCGAGCGCTAGACCTTGGTCCCACATGAGGACAGCGCGGTATAAGTATGGAGACGGCACTTGGGCCCCATTACCCTACCAGCCTCGCTCCTGTGCACTTTTCAGTGGG